CAGAAAAATGTCAACACCAACATGATGTATTTGTCCGTCCTGTCCGGCGTATATTTAAAACAGAGCATGACATTTTCAGCCGAACCGGAAATGAGATTTCAATCATTTTATCATCTCATGGTTGCTAAACCGAAAAGTCTCGAGTTCGAACCCTCGGGCAGATGAGGCTCGTTAGCTGGGGACAGCCACTCTTCTAGGAGAGACAACTCCAAAATTAAACAACTGCTGCCTTGTAGTTTGTTCTTGGTTGGACAAAGGCTATGGAAGCAAATCCAAAAAGAAAAGCAGGCTAAAATCGGAGTCAATGGCCTCAATGGCGCATAACCAGTTGACACGTAACGCTTAATTGTGTTGGAGGTTGGTCGAGTCGGCAAAAAGCTCAAGGTTGATAAATTCGAACAAAGTCTCGAGTTCAAACCAACTGGCAGATAAATCACGATCCCCTTCAACACTAATAATTAAGAACGAAGAAGAAGAAGAAGATCATCTAGTGTTTTTTTTATTACTGACGGCAGTCGGTGATATGTTTCACCTGACCCAGGGTGGGTCGTGGATGCGGGTGGGGAGGTCAGGGTGGGGGGTCACGGTGGGGGGTCAGGGTTGCGGGTCGGGGGGGGGGGGGTCGGGGTGGGGGGGGGGGGGGTCGGAGTGGGGGTCAGGATTGCGGATCTGGATTGCGGATCTGGGTTCGGGGTCGGAGTGAGGGGTCAGCGTTGCGGTTCGGGGTTGCGGGTCGGGGTGGGGGGGGGGGTTCTCCTCTAACCTGTAGTTGTCCTTTCATCTAGAGTTGTCGTCCCGTCGAACCCTCAGACGGTACGGCCGAGCAGACGATGATGGGGTAGAATGGAAGATAAATGTTTCCACAGGCTGCTCCTCCCCTAAGTCTTCCACAGATCACGTGATAACCGTTAGATCTATCAAGGTAGACAATGCCGATCTATTCAAGGTAGACAATTCGGGGCTTTCAAGCGGAGATAATTACCACAGTAATCCATGCCTAGCTATTTTTAATGATTCTAATATGAGAGAAAATGAAGTATACAGCCTGCTTGTGATTTTAACACATTTGAAACACTCACCTACAACATCGGCAACGTTTTGCCTACAACATCAGCGTTTTACCTACAACATCAGCAACGTTTTACCTACAACATCAGCAAATGTTGCCTACAACATCCGCAAACACTCACCTACAACATCCGCAAGTACGAGTTTTATTTGGTTGACGTGTTTTATTTTTTAGATTCAACCACTGCTTGTTGCATCAAATTCTCAATTCATGTGGATAGATCACGGTGAGGCTGGGAAGTCAAAGTTTCATTCAAGCTTTTTCACAATGCCACAACAGATCACAACGGCATAATTCTACCCCACAACTGCATAATTCTACCCCACAACTGCATGATTCTACCCCACAACTGCATAATTCTACCCCACAACTGCATGATTCTACCCCACAACGGCATAATTCTACCACACAACGGCATAATTCTACCCCACAACTGCATGATTCTACCCCACAACTGCATAATTCTACCCCACAACTGCATGATTCTACCCCACAACGGCATAATTCTACCCCACAACAATATAATTCTACCCCACAACAATATAATTCTACCCCACAACAATATAATTCTACCCCACAACAATATAATTCTACCCCACGACAATATAATTCTACCCCACAACAATATAATTCTACCCCACAACAATATAATTCTACCCCACAACAATATAATTCTACCCCACAACAATATAATTCTACCCCACAACAATATAATTCTACCCCACAACAATATAATTCTACCCCACAACGGCATAATTCTACCCCACAACGACCCCTATCCCAACTAGAGCTACCCCACAACGACCCCTATGAAAGAGCTACCCCACAACGACCCCTATGAAAGAGCTACCCCACAACGACCCCTATCCCAACAAGAGCTGCCACACCGGGTCTGTCTGGAATCCGGGATAAAATATCCCAAGGTCACACATTGGCGAGATTATCCTGTCGGGGTGAGGTATCTCATCGCCTGGCTATCTCACCGCCTGGTTAATCGTCGCCTCACCTTGGTGTGATTAATGTCTTCACTCGCCCGATATAGACGGAGATGTGTGGGGAGGGGAGTGGGGGGAGGGGGGCTGGTTTCACATGGGCAGTCAATGCAGCTTTGTGCTTGGTGGGGGTAGTGTGTGGGGGGTAGTGTGTGGGGGTAGTGTGTGGGGGTAGTGTCTGGGGGTAGTGTGTGGGGGTAGTGTGTGGGGAGGGGTGTGCTGTTTGTGTGCTGTGTGTGTGCGTGTATGTGTGGGCTGTTTGTTGGAATTTACATTTCAATCAAAACAAGTTTGTAACCATTTGTGTACCATTGTTCAGACTACTTGTCACTTGGGCAATTTGTCATTTGGACAACTTGTCATTTCGACAAATTGTCATTTGAACAACTTGTCATTTGAACAACTTGTCATTTGAACAACTTGTCAACATCTGAATACAGTAAACTCTTGAATATTTAAAACAGCCTTGTTTCCCCGTAACCTAACTCCATGTAGAACCAATATTTGTGTTAATTGGCAGTAACTCTAGACTTCCTTGTCTGATGTATTACTGCCCCTGATTGCCATCTCATACCCAGTTAAAACCAATCCGATGAATTCCACACACCACAATGAAAATTGATATTTTTAATTGATTCAATGAAATTGATATTTTTAATTGATTTAATTTATCTCAGGTTCGTCTTTTATCAAGGTATTTTTTATCACCTTAACAAAATGTACTTTAGAATGTTCTAGAGGGTGTAGTTGGCTACTAGCAAAGTTTGATGTTACACTTAGACGAGCTAATCCTCTTTAATCATTGTAGAACATATGGCATCAACCTAAAGCCTCTATTTTGTCCGGTACCCGGCTATGTTGCCGTCTCCCAAGACAGTCACTCTAAGACAGCTCTGTAGTTTTTAGTTCTTCGTGTAGACTAGACTAGTTCATGTAAAATTGAGGTCGTTTAATGTCTAGGTCAGCTAATGATTAGGTTGTTTAAAGTCAAGGTCATATGAGATGAAGTCAAGGTCATGTACCGGACAGTTGGGCTGAAGACACGTGAACGTGGAGCAGTTATGTTAAGGGAGGCGACTGGGAGATGGTTCTCTGTACACACGGGGTTATGTCCCCTAGCTGTTCACATGTACTGACCCCTGTGGCTTTTGTATCCTGCGGCTGTGTGTGTGTGGGGGGGGGGGGGGTGCTTCTATATCCCTTTTTTATTATTTAGGGGGGGGGGTCCTATGTGGGTGTGGGGAGGCTTCGATGTGGGCTGTGTGTGATGGGGGGTTCTATGGGGGATGGGGGGGGGGGCTTCTATGTGGGCTATGTGTGTCAGGAGTGAGTAATCTATTACTTGCATGCCCGTCGCTTGTTGCTGCTATCTTAGAAGGGAAAAGCTGGGAAACTCATTAAAACATTATATTGTTACTAATGGTGTATTTTTGTAGGCGCACAGTGCTCACTGGGCAAGGGGGAGGGGGGGGGGGCTGAGGCGCTCCTGGTCACATGACCCTCGGGCCAACCGAGGAGACCCTTGATACAGTTTGGCAAGTGAGTTAAGTAGTCCGACAGACGGTCGGACAGTTCATTCAATATCCCCATATCACCCCCACATCACTCCTACCCCCCTCCCAATCCCCCTCCACAAGGTGAAAAGGTGTACCTAGCCTTCATGTCCCGTTTATTTTTACTTGAACTTCTTTCTTCTTCTCTTTCAGGACAGCTTGTCTGCCCTCGTCATATGATCTGCCCTCGTCATATGATCTGCCCTCGTCATATGATCTGCCCTTGTGTGAGTACTCAGGGTTCTGTCCCTTACATCTGACTCTCCTCCTCGTTACAAGAGACACACTCTGACGTCAAAACCGGCAGCCGTGTATCGCCGTAGGAAACAGCCGGCAGGTGCCGTGTAAAACCGGATCTGACAGTTGAGTTGATCCACCTGAGAACGGCTCCAGAGTTGAGGATTCACATTGGCAGGGAGATCACGTGACCCTGTAGAAACCTGACACCTGCGGCGGCTCAGGTGAGCTTGATGGATGTCGCCTGCTAAACCGCAGGTCAGGAACAGGCATGTTTCAAACCTGACGCAGTCGACCTGCCGCAGTCGACCTGTCGCAGTCGACCTGCCTACTGATGAGAAATACAAAGGGGATTAGCTTTATTTATATCAACTCACTTTATTCAGGGAATTTTGTTTCAAGACAAACAAGTACAGGAAACTTAACGCACAAAATGCTGACGTAGTGCACATACACTAGAGTTGGTGTTCGCCGTTTTATCGGGAAAATCCGGAAAAATTGAACCCACCAAAGGTCAGGCTATAACAGGCCTATGGTGTGTTGTACGGAGATACGGTGGCTATCTCACTCATACAGGTGACCTGTTTCCGATAACAGACAGCAGACGTACACACAACCGGCTCTGGTTGTTTGAAAGTGTCCAATTATTGTAGCCTGGCTGTGGGGAACTTGTAACATTGGGGAACATTTTCATCGGAGGTGACGTCATATCAATGGCGGATTTGTGCGCCCTGTTCATCTTCGTAGATCGGTAACAGTTTATTTTTAGAGGAGAGTTTAGTTACAGTGAGGACAGTTCTAGCTGGAATAAAAATGGCGTCACCTGAATGTGGAAGATGACATCAGTTTTGTGAATGGATATTATCCAGTGGATTGTGACGAAAACTATCCACGGATTTTGGCAAGGTCGTCACGAATCGAGACCAAAAACATGACTGTACGTGTCGGCTTTATGACTCTATTGGAGTAACACAATGTGCAGATAACTCTAGCGCTCTGTCTGTGGTTACACTTGCCTGTCGCAGGACGTTTGGACGATAAAAATCTGGCCACCACCCGGACTCTTGTTGCTAGGCGACGATAAAGTCAGGAGACGGACACACGAGTAGGGCGTCATCTGAGATCCTTCAATAGATTTTTTTCCCTTCTTCATTTGGTGCGGGCTGTTGTTACAGGAAATCTTATGAAAGAATGGGCCAAGGTCACGGGTCATGGTCGCTCGGCGCTATGACCGTCTGGTTGCCATGGGGACGCGGTGCCGTGATGGTCGCCCACGTGACCTGCTCCCTGCTGCACCTCCTCCTGTCCGCGGTGCTGGTGACGTCACACGAGACGACGGACGGTCCGGAAGTTGCCGGGAACCTGAGCCAGCTGGTCTACAACGCCACCTCCCCGCCCGGCAACACATCCGGGGTCGTGGTGTCGGGCGACGCCGCGGGGAGCGCTCGGGTGGAGATCGCCCGGGCCAGCGACGAGAGCGACATCCCGCGTGAGTACCCCACGGCCCTCGTCATCGCCAGCTCCGTGGCGGCCGTCAGCATCCTCGTCTTCTTCTTCCTCGCCTACTACTGGCACACCCGCCAGCTCGACAGCCGCGCCAGGAAACTCGCCATCCGACTGGCCGCCGACGCTGAAAACGGCATGCGCAGACGCAACTGCCCCACGCCGCCCTCTCGCGGGTACACACGCGCCACCTCGCGCCCTGTGTCCGAGGCGTCGGTTGACCTCAACCACTACGAGGCTCTGACTATGGAGGAGGACCAACCCCTGGGGAGCGAGTGCGGACACAGCTCCCGGGGGGTGTCAGAGAGCGACGCCGGCGACAGCGAGGACGTTTTCACGCCCGCCCAGCACCCGGGGGAGAGGGGCAGGACTTTGATCCGGGGTGGGCGCGGCGGCCACCGGAAGTGGAGCCGGTCCAGAAAACATTCGTCGGGCGCCAGCCTGGACAAGCGGGACTCGGCCGTGACGGACAAAGAGATCCTGACCCACTTCGCCAGCCGCCGGCACTCCACGTTCTTCATCTGACGCTGGTCACGTGATTCCCGTTGTTGTTGACTACACCATTTCCGCCTGCTGTAATATTGATGACTAATTAATCCATTGTTAATTATGCATGTCGCGTATCCACGTTTGAAACGTCTCTTCCTGCAGATTTGTTTTGAAACTTTTAAATCGAAGTTTTGCAGCACTAACTTTGGCATGAGGATAAGCATACACCACATACCGTAATGCCAACAGTTTAGAGCTAGAGTTAGGGGTAGGTTTAATATTGTCTTACAGGTAATTCTTATCTCTAGGTTATCTTTATGTTTAGATCAAGGGTTAAAGTAATTAACACATGCATGTTTAATTGTATGTCGATTTTCGCAAACTTTTCTACAACAGTTGATCTGCTGGACTTTTGCCAGTGTTGTGGTTGGTGGAAGATACAGATGTCGTGTTGGTGATGGTGTGATGTCGGTGGTCAAACTTGCAGACAAGAATTAAAGGAGGGGGCTGTCAAGCTAGTGGAGGTTGCCCACCAAAAGGTTGTCCAGCAGATGAGAGTGTGTCCCCTGGGGGAGGCAGACACACCAGTGGTCCTGGAGTTTTTCACCCAAAAAAGTTTGTAGAAATCACGGTGAGACATTGGTCCAGATGTCTTGTGTCAAGTTTGGTGAAAAAAACGTTTCAGTATATTATGTTGGGCAGATGTTGCAAATTTGGTAAGTTGTTGGTAAAATATTGCTAGTTTTTGGTAAAATGGTTATAAAGGTTGGCTACTTTTTGGCAAAATGTTGATAAAATGTTGTTAGTAGTTGGTAAAATGTGTATAAATGTTGGCTAGTTGTTGGTAAAATGTTGATAAAATGTCGTTGTTGCCTAACAATTTTTTTACCAAAATTGAGTTGCCATTCTTGGATTACCAAACAAGAACTAAAACTGGACTAGGTCTAGTTAGGTTTTTGTTTATACGCTATGTCGCTTTAATTTTGCTATATGAAATTTTGTCCTAAGTTATTTAAAAAGCTCCATGTGATAAACCCTATTCCATATATCCCAGCATTCATTGTGTGTGTGACGTAATGTTTATTTCCGCTATATATCGGAGGGGGTGGGAGGGGGTCGAGTCTTTTTTTTTTTGCGCCATCTCTGATTTTACATTTGTGTCCCATGTTAATATCTTCCTTCTGTATATATCATAGACAAGCCACTTGTTTTGGCGTTAGCCAGATAAATTACATGCCATATTGGAAAATTGTTTTGTATGTATAATAGGGCTTGATTGGGAGAACTTAAATTTTATATTTCATTTTTTGTTGGCGTCAAATATAATTGATTTGCTTGCCACGTATAAACGGCGGTAAAAAAAACTTGGGCGGTAGATTCAATTTTCAAACTTGTACTGTGAATTTATAGAGGATGTAGATCTGTCCCTACAGTCACATTAGCTGTTTACACAGACACGCCACAACCTCCCCTATCCTTAGTCTCGACACAACTCTACATATTAGCACTACACTCTGTCCTTGTCTAAACCATAATATAACAAGACCACCACATTACCCCATGATTTAGGTCTACGTCGTTTCACCTTTCAATTTATTCCAGTCTAAATGTTTATTTTTATTAAACGTCGTCTGTTTTCTTTCACCAGCCTAAAGTTTATTACTTAACTTGTCAGATTATCTTAGCTGATCTATTTATTCTTCTTAAATTATTTGATTATTTTTATAATCGTACAATCGTTTCTATTTATAAACCATTTGTACAATCCTAAAATTATTTCTAGAATCTTGCACTAATTTCTTTAATCCTTCAGTAATTTTTAAACCCACAAATCAAGCTAGCAAGTCATGTTTGACTTCTGTAAGAATCGTATGCAATTCTATTTTTATCATGTTATTAAAATTTTATGATTACAAAGTCAGTAGTGTTGTTGTTTGACTGATTTTTTCTTTCTAGCGTGTTTTCTAGCCGTTTGACGTCACGCTTTTTTGTGACGTTTTCGTCAATTTGTGCATCACATTTTTTATTCAGTTTTTGTTTATCTTTGTGATGTATTAAACCCACGTGACTAGAGTAACTATTGTCTAAAAGCCAAAGCCGGTAAAAGTAAAAATATATTAAAAATTTCGGTATCGTAGTAAGGGAAGCAACCGTGAAAAATCTGCACCACATGTGAAAAGTAGGTTATGGCGCCTGTTTTTTTCTTTACTCTTAAAAAAAGGTAAGCATGTCAAAATAAATATTGAAATATCTTCTTTTTTTTCGCCGTTATTCCACCATGTTTTTGTTACTTGAGTGATATATTTTGATGAAAAAACAACGAAATGTTTTAGGGTAGAATTTGAACTTTTGTTCGTATTTTTTTAACTTGTGTTTGCTATAAAAACTCCACACTTGATAATAAATTTTTAAAAATGTTTAAATTATGTGGAGAAAAAAAATCAAAACCAATTTTTTTGCTTAGTTTCTGAACTTTCAAGCTTGTATTTTCGTTTATTGAAGAAGTTATTGCCGAAACTTCCATACTGATCCGGGTTGGTCCATTAGGTCAAGGTCGCAAACAGTTGTGTCGCTATATGAAAGTGGGTGCTGTTGTTTAGCCAACTCCTAGTTATAATAAGTTTTAATGGGTCGGCGTGGTCGAGTCGGTAAAGCTCATGGTTGCTAAACCGAAAAGTTTCGAGTTCGAACCCTCGGGCAGTTGAGGCTCGTTAGCTGGGGACAGCCACTCTTCTAGGAGAGACAACTCCAAAATTAAACAACTGCTGCCTTGTAGTTTGTTCTTGGTTGAACAAAGGCTATGGAAGCAAATCCAAAAAGAAAAGCAGGCTTAAATCGGAGTCAATGGCCTCAATGGCGCATAACCAGTTGACACGTAACGCTTAATTGTGTTGGAGGCGTGGTCGAGTCGGCAAAAAGCCCATGCTTGATAAATTCGAACAAAGTCTCGAGTTCAAACCCACTGGCTGATAAATCTCGATCCCCTTCAACACTAATAATTAAGAACGAAGAAGAAGAAGAGAAAGATAAGTTTTAATAATAACAGATTCCCTTGGGGGTCGGTGTGGTCGGGCGAGATAGCTCATGATTGCTAACGCAGATGCCCCGAGTTTGGACCCCACTGAGAAGCAGCCCCATGATTACTCCTGGGTTGTGACAAATAAAAAGCGGCTCTACAGAGTCAAGTTTAGCGCATTAATTGGGACAGGTTTCTAGTAAATATTGTTAACAGCACCAAAGAAAGCAAATCATGAAAACAAGACATTGAATTTGAGTAAGTTTTATTTACCTGAAGGAATGCATTCGTGTACAGAAGGGTACGCAGGTATGTACACAGTAAGTTTGTACACATCTCTATGTACAAGATGAAAAAATATATTCTAATGTGTCTGGGGTTGGCGCGACAACCCATTCGTTATTGTAAGTTAGTGGGCAATGTCACCATGACATGTAGGCATCACTAAACATGACAGATGGCATTTGTTTGTCATTTAGCTGATGTCATCATTACTAAAGTCCCTTCAAACAAAATTTGTTGCTAATGCAAAGGTGAACAAATAGTTCATTATGTGAACCTGACCATTTTTATGTTCACATACGCTAATTAGGTACACATAAACTGGTCTGTATGTTTCTATACACACAGAAAAATTACATCTCACCGGCAGGCACATATAAAGCATACAACATACATATAGCTCAGCGTACAATCCATTCATCCCCATACATCACAAGCATCAGTGCCATTCATATCTCTCAATGAGGTATATGTGTTAGGTATGACAGATTAAATTCATGTCACACATTATAGGCAGAAGTCCCATGACAAATAATCTTTTAAAATATTTCACAAAGTCTTCAAAAAAAAAAATCCTTCAAACTCTACAGCTGTTCAAATAAAATTTGACCCATACAACACCAATATTCTGTATTTAAAAAAAATATCTAATCCCTGTATACAATGGTGAAGAGAAAATATATCCGGTACACAGAAGCTGGTATAAAATAAAACAGTCAAGCATTGAATGAAACAATAGAGGCCATGAGTGGTCAAGTAGGATGAAAGGAATATGTACAAGTTGCACTAGACATCAATATCACTGCGTAATTATAAATAGTCGGCTAATTATGCTTATCCTCGTTTAAAAAAAATATGACATCCATGCTAATGTTGCATAGAGAAACCTATCCAACAGGAACTTGGCTTATAACAAAATAATTCAACACTCAGCACTTGAGTGAGTGACATACATCCTCTGTGATGTAATGCTATGTACAGCAAGCTGTTCTATTTATAGAACTTGATACAAATTGATACAACAACAGTGGTCAAGAAAATGATTGAGTTACATGGCACTGTCTATTGCTGTCTACCTCAGTCATTGGTCCATGGAGGTATGTATGACCTCATCTGTAGGTCACTTGGACATTAGTGGACCTTGTAGGTCATATTTTTAGTTAAAACAGCCCTGTCCCCACAACAGCATAAGCCGCCACAACAGCACAGGCCGCCACACGAAATCTAAAAACTGTGATCCAATTCTGGGCAGTCTATGAAACAAACTTTCCCAACATGCAGCACTGGGAGGTGATCAAACAACAAACATCCTCCCATTCCAGGCGGGTTTTGATCCCAGGTCTGCTCACACTTTGGTCTCTGGTCCTGACGCCTCTTGTTTGAACGACTCCCTGAGCCTGTCTAGAAAACTGGCACCGATGAACCCGTAGATCTTGGTGTACCAGTCGGGTGTACGACCCCTGGGGGACAGAGGAAAAATATTTCAACAAATCAGGTTTCCAAGTCAAACTTTCATTAACATGTAGGTATAGCTGTTTGTTATTTGGAAGGAATACTTGGAGTCATTTTAAAACTTGGTGTAATAACAAAATAAACTGACTATTTTTTTCTAAAAATTCCGTAACCGTGCATAATGGGCTCTATCTACAATAGGGTCACATTTTCACAAGTATGTTCAACTTAGGTAGAATATGAGAGGTCTGAATTTACCGAACACAGTAACCCTTGACCCCCATAAAACTGACCTTGTGTCCACTCATGTGATGTAACCATGACCCCCTGACAACTGACCTTGTGTCCACCCATGTAACCATGACCCCCATAAAACTGACCTTGGGTCCACCCGTGTGCTGTAACGACCCCCTGACCCCCATAAAACTGACCTTGTGTCCACCCCCGACCCCCATAAAACTGACCTTGTGTCCACCCTTGTGATGTAAGTTATCCGTGAGCGGCCTGAGCCACAGGGCTCCATGAGGAAGTAGGAGCCCATGTCCACAGCCCAGACACCCTGGACCTCCACGGCGTCCGAGTGCTCCACGGACATGGTGATGAGGGCACAGGCGCCCTTGGTCAGGTCACTGCGCCAATACCTGCACGACAGGGGACAACTTTAGTAGACGACAAATGGGTTAACTTAAGCAGAGGACAACTGCATTACAGTGCTGGACATCAAAGAAAGATTTTAGCACTTGGCAAGATAATGTAAGGCAACATTTCTGAGAAACAGCTATAAATGTAGTACATAGTTTACAGTCGTCCCCCCCCCCCCCCCAACAGCTGAGTAAAACAAAATCGAGTCCAGACACTATCCCGAGGTGACACTATCCCGACGTGACACTAGTCCGACGTGACACTAGCCGTTAGTTTACCTCAAGATACAGAAATGTCTGGAGGGATGTGGCGCCATGCTGTTGAGAACGTACTGGAAGATGTCCGAGTGCTGGTCAAGTCTCTCCACAACTGACCAACTCAACAGGTCCTCGTCCCAGGTGTGCCTGTAACACAACATTTGCTTTCAGTCAGCTAAATACACAATCTTTAACAAACAATGTTTATTTTTCAGAATTTTTTTTTTTTAAATCAATCTTCAAAATACACATTCTTAGACAAACATTGTTACTTTCCTAATACAACAGTCTTAGATAAAACTCTTAATTTTTCTAAATACTATTTTTCTTTAAAATTCTTAAAAAGAATATTTGGTTTTCAAATTATATAGTCTAAAGGTTTATTAAGTCTCCAATTTCCTTTCTTCTTTAAAATTTTGCCAGAATTTAATTTTAATTAATTAAATTAGCTTCTATGATCAAAAACAAGAGACTATACAAACATGATGGGCTGTTAATCTGTCAGAACCCAACTTAAATTCTGAAGGTTTTTTTTAAAGAGGATTTAGTTTTTTTTTTTTAATCTCTGCCAGTCCTACCTTTCATGCATGATCCTGCGCAGAACCTCAATGGGTGGAGCTTCAATGTCTGTGACAAACTTCCACTCCTTGAGGGGACAGTCGTCCTGGGGCTTGCGGTGGAAAACCTCCACATCACTGACCACCATAGTCTGTACCCAGCCACGGTTTTTGTCATGGGCTTCCTGCGGACATACAACATCAGTGGTCAGTTGGTCTTACAACATCCAGCGGTCAGTTGGTCTTACAACATCAGCGGTCAGTTGGTCTTACAACATCAGTGGTCAGTTGGTCTTACAACATCAGTGGTCAGTTGGTCTTACAACATCAGTGGTCAGTTGGTCTTACAACATCAGCGGTCAGTTGGTCTTACAACATCAGCGGTCAGTTGGTCTTACAACATCAGTGGTCAGTTGGTCTTACAACATCAGTGGTCAGTTGGTCTTACAACATCAGCGGTCAGTTGGTCTTACAACATCCAGCGGTCAGTTGGTCTTACAACATCAGTGGTCAGTTGGTCTTACAACATCCAGCGGTCAGTTGGTCTTACAACATCCAGCGGTCAGTTGGTCTTACAACATCCAGCGGTCAGTTGGTCTTACAACATCCAGCGGTCAGTTGGTCTTACAACATCAGCAGTCAGTTGGTCTTACAACATCCAGCGGTCAGTTGGTCTTACAAACATGACAGATGCTCATCTAGCTGTATGTAGCTACACCATTTGCTCTAGAAAAAATCTTACTTTTAAAACCACTTGAATGCGCTCCTGTCCAAAGGCCTTGACCTCTGCAGGTGAGTTGCCGATGTCTTGCAGCGGTGCAGGTTCCACATGGGCCAGAGACTGGACTTGGAGCTGGCGAAACTGGTGGGGTGGAATCTGGGTCAAAGACAACAGTTTCAACATTAAAAATTTATAAATTATTTCATAATCATTCCATAAAAATTAATTTAGAAGCTCTGTGAGGGTTCTGTTTAAATGCTGCTCAATAAACTTTAAACCAAAAGAATTTCCACCCTTGAACAAATGCCACCCTTGAACAAATGCCACCCTTGAACAAATGCCACCCTGGAACAAATGCCACCCTGGAACAAATGCCACCCTGGAACAAATGCCACCCTGGAACAAATCCCACCCTGGAACAAATCCCACCCTTGAACAAATGCCACCCTTGAACAAATGCCACCCTTGAACAAATGCCACCCTGGAACAAATGCCACCCTGGAACAAATGCCACCCTGGAACAAATGCCACCCTTGAACAAATGCCACCCTGGAACAAATCCCACCCATGGACAAATCCCACCCTTGAACAAATGCCACCCTTGAACAAATGCCACCCTTGAACAAATGCCACCCTTGAACAAATGCCACCCTTGAACAAATGCCACCCTGGAACAAATGCCACCCTGGAACAAATGCCACCCTGGAACAAATGCCACCCTTGAACAAATGCCACCCTGGAACAAATCCCACCCTGGAACAAATCCCACCCTTGAACAAATGCCACCCTTGAACAAATGCCACCCTTGAACAAATGCCATCCAGGAACAAACCCCACCCAGGAACAAATGCCACCCTGGAACAAATGCCACCCTTGAACAAATGCCACCCTTGAACAAATGCCACCCTTGAACAAATGCCACCCTGGAACAAATGCCACCCTGGAACAAATGCCACCCTGGAACAAATCCCACCCTTGAACAAATCCCACCAACTTACAGTGAAAAGTTTCTTGCACTGGGTGATCATCATAAGCAGACACTCGTGGGCTGCCTTCTGCTCCATGATCTCCCTGGGGTCGGGGATGCCCGTGGAGTTCTTGCGGTTTCGCTTGGGACTGTGGGATATGTACTGGCGGCTACCCAGCTGGAACACCGTGGGGGTGAAACACACGGCCAGGTTACTGGCGTTCATCTGGGGACAGGGAAAGTAAGTTGCTGGTTACATATGTCAAATATGGAGGGGGGGGGGGGGGAAGAGGAGGGGGGGCATGGTAGGCACTATATGGTGAAACATGTCCTATGTTGGAGGGGGGGCATGAGATACTGTTTAAACAAGTCCTATTTTGGGACACTGAAGAAAAGCTTACACAACATAATGTAAATGGAATCGTGGGTAGAACAAATGGTGTACACAATGTACAAAAACTAGACCTTTTATAGCAGCAACAAGTACATCTGTATGTGGTGTACACATTCACGTGTAAAAGGTGTGCCCACGTGTACAAGTTGTGTAAAAACGTGTACAGATGTGTAAAAAGGTGTGTAAAGGTATGTGTACAGGTGTGTAAAAGGTGTGTAATGGAACGTGTAGAGACATGTACACACCTGATGGTCTGACTCGTGTGACGATATGTCACTCAGGAACAACAGAATGGACTGCAGGACCTCCCTGTTCTCGTCAGGTAGTAACAAGATGGCCGCCTGGATGGCCTCCAGTCTCTGGGGCTGTGGTACGTCTGTAATGGAAGGCTTTGATTACATGTACACATACACATGTACACATACAACTGGGATACAATTTTTATGGGACGTTGATACGTCTGCAACAGGAACTAATTGATTACATGTACACACACACATGTACGCATGTACACATACGCATGTACACATACAACTGGGATACAATTGATTTTTATTTTAATGTTGATTTTAAAAAAAAATCAGACACATACAAGTAAAAGTAACAAATGGAGGAAATATGCTAATAAGCTTCACTGTTAAAGCGAGCTAATTAACGAGTGTGTTAATGAGTAGATGAACGAGTTAATGAGAGCAACTCACGTGTGTAGATACTGCGGAATGTCTCAGACATCTTGTTGGTGAGCAGGCACTCGGGCAAGTCTCGAAAGTAGGTCTTGAGCATGTCGGCAACGTTGTAGGCGTTGGCGTCCTCGAAATCTGTCGTATCTGGTGAGGTAAGTAGTGGCGTCAGGACATGCATCAACACAGTGGCGTCAGGACATCCAACAACACAGTGGCGTCAGTACCAAGACACTTTTCCCCACGCCATTATTAATTTTTTTTTTAAAGAAACTTCTACTATTTTAGGATTGTCACGGCCCAGTCAGGTACCCACCCACATTTAGCTTGGGTGTACTTCATTAAAGAAGTGCACTGGCCTAGAGAAAATGTTTTTTCCAACAGTGGAAATGAAAATCCAAGAACCCAGATTGTTACGTCAACCACCAAACTGACCTGGGTGTTGACCACCAAACTGACCTGGGTGTTGACCACCAAACTGACCTGGGTGTTGACCACCAAACTGACCTGGGTGTTGACCACCAAACTGACCTGGGTGTTGACCACCAAACTGACCTGGGTGTTGACCACCAAACTGACCTGGGTGTTGACCACCAAACTGACCTGGGTGTTGACCACCAAACTGACCTGGGTGTTGACCACCAAACTGACCTGGGTGTTGACCACCAAACTGACCTGGGTGTTGACCACCAAACTGACCTGGGTGTTGACCACCAAACTGACCTGGGTGTTGACCAACAAACTGACCTGGGTGAGCCTCCAGGTGATCCCGTAGCTGCTGAATCTTGGACTTGACACCTGACTTCCTGAAGATGCCCACAGCTGTCTGACAGGTGCGTCTCAGGTAGCGCATGGCATACAGCACACACTGGGGGAGCGGCTGCCCCGTCCTCTGGGCCATCACGTTAAAGGGGACGCCAAAAACATTTTTGTCGCTGAAATCTGGGGACTGGTCACACAAACAGATACAGTCAGTTTAAATTTAACGAAGGGTGATGATTTATTAACTTAATTAGCTGACAATTATGCGGGTATTTGAGAGTAAACCATATGTTTGACTATATGGGTATACACCATACAATGTTTGACCAGGGTCAAGCTTACCCTCTGACGTTTCATGAATCTAGGCACCATCCAGTTCCAGCCGGACTTGTTGACCGGCAGACATTTCTCCATGATGCCAGTCAGTTTGAGCAGGGACAGCTTCTGTAGCCGGACCAACTGACCAGCGGTCAAGCTGTTGATCTGCATGGCCCGGCTGCTGACGTCAGGTCTGTGGCTCTTCTGGAAGCTGTGCCATCTGATCTTCTTGCGCCTGCGCTCTCTGGAAGGACAGGTGAGTTACAGGTGTGTGGGAGGACAGGTGAGTTACAGGTGTGTGGAAGGACAGGTGAGTTACAGGTGTGTGGGAGGACAGGTGAGTTACAGGTGTGTGGGAGGACAGGTGAGTTACAGGTGTGTGGGAGGACAGGTGAGTTACAGGTGTGTGGGAGGACAGGTGAGTTACAGGTGTGTGGGAGGACAGGTGAGTTACAGGTGTGTGGGAGGACAGGTGAGTTACAGGTGTGTGGGAGGACAGGTGAGTTACAGGTGTGTGGAAGGACAGGTGAGTTACAGGTGTGTGGGAGGACAGGTGAGTGGGAGGACAGGTGAGTTACAGGTGTGTGGAAGGACAGGTGAGTTACAGGTGTGTGGGAGGACAGGTGAGTTACAGGTGTGTGGAAGGACAGGTGAGTTATAGGTGTGTGGGAGGACAGGTGAGTTACAGGTGTGTGGGAGGACAGGTGAGTTACAGGTGTGTGGAAGGACAGGTGAGTTACAGGTGTGTGGAAGGACAGGTGAGTTACAGGTGTGTGGAAGGACAGGTGTGTGGGAGAACAGGTGAGTTACAGGTGTGTGAGAGGACAGGTGAGTTACAGGTGTGTGGAAGGACAGGTGTGTTACAGGTGTGTGGAAGGACAGGTGTGTTACAGGTGTGTGGAAGGACAGGTGTGTGGGAGAACAGGTGAGTTACAGGTGTGTGAGAGGACAGGTGTGTTACAGGTGTGTGGAAGGACAGGTGTGTTACAGGTGTGTGGAAGGACAGGTGTGTGGGAGAACAGGTGAGTTACAGGTGTGTGGAAGGACAGGTGAGTTACAGGTGTGTGGAAGGACAGGTGAGTTACAGGTGTGTGGGAGGACAGGTGAGTGGGAGGACAGGTGAGTTACAGGTGTGTGGAAGGACAGGTGAGTTATAGGTGTGTGGGAGGACAGGTGAGTTACAGGTGTGTGGGAGGACAGGTGAGTTACAGGTGTGTGGAAGGACAGGTGAGTTACAGGTGTGTGGAAGGACAGGTGAGTTACAGGTGTGTGGAAGGACAGGTGTGTGGGAGAACAGGTGAGTTACAGGTGTGTGAGAGGACAGGTGAGTTACAGGTGTGTGGAAGGACAGGTGAGTTACAGGTATGTGGAAGGACAGGTGAGTTACAGGTATGTGGGAGGACAGGTGAGTTATAGGTGTGTGGGAGGACAGGTGAGTTACAGGTGTGTGGAAGGACAGGTGAGTTATAGGTGTGTGGGAGGACAGGTGAGTTACAGGTGTGTGGGAGGACAGGTGAGTTACAGGTGTGTGGAAGGACAGGTGAGTTACAGGTGTGTGGGAGGACAGGTGAGTTACAGGTGTGTGGAAGGACAGGTGAGTTACAGGTGTGTGGAAGGACAGGTGAGTTACAGGTGTGTGGGAGGACAGGTGAGTGGGAGGACAGGTGAGTTACAGGTGTGTGGAAGGACAGGTGAGTTATAGGTGTGTGGGAGGACAGGTGAGTTACAGGTGTGTGGGAGGACAGGTGAGTTACAGGTGTGTGGAAGGACAGGTGAGTTACAGGTGTGTGGAAGGACAGGTGAGTTACAGGTGTGTGGAAGGACAGGTGTGTGGGAGAACAGGTGAGTTACAGGTGTGTGAGAGGACAGGTGAGTTACAGGTGTGTGGAAGGACAGGTGTGTTACAGGTGTGTGGAAGGACAGGTGTGTTACAGGTGTGTGGAAGGACAGGTGTGTGGGAGAACAGGTGAGTTACAGGTGTGTGAGAGGACAGGTGTGTTACAGGTGTGTGGAAGGACAGGTGTGTTACAGGTGTCTGGAAGGACAGGTGTGTGGGAGAACAGGTGAGTTACAGGTGAGTGGGAGGACAGGTGAGTTACAGGTGTGTGGAAGGACAGGTGTGTTACAGGTGTGTGGAAGGACAGGTGTGTGGGAGAACAGGTGAGTTACAGGTGTGTGAGAGGACAGGTGAGTTACAGGTGTGTGGGAGGACAGGTGAGTTACAGGTGTGTGGGAGGACAGGTGAGTTACAGGTGTGTGGGAGGACAGGTGAGTTACAGGTGTGTGGAAGGACAGGTGAGTTACAGGTGTGTGGAAGGACAGGTGAGTTACAGGTGTGTGGGAGGACAGGTGAGTTACAGGTGTGTGGGAGGACAGGTGAGTTAAGGTGTGTGGAAGGACAGGTGAGTTACAGGTGTGTGGAAGGAGGTGTGTGTGTTGGAGGCAGGTGTATTACACGTGAGCGGGAAGATAGGTGTATCACAGGTGAGTGAGAGGATGTGTGCCACAGGTGACTGGGACCTACCCTGGTGCTCGGGTCAGCGAGTGCCCGACCCCTGAGTCCCGCCTCTCCATGGACACATCTGGCATCTGGTCGAGCGAGTCGTCGTGTGAGAGGTCCGTCAGGCCAGTCTCCTGGTCGTCTGAGTTGCTGCTGTCGCCACCACTCGACCGGTTCTCGCTGGAACTCGTGTCCGTGCACTCCTCCCTCACCCCCGGGGACAGGGGGGAGGAGGGCGAGAGGACCAGGTCAGACGTGGGGGAGACGAGGTCATCCTGGTCCAGGGAGGTGTTGAGGTGGGTGGGGACGAGCTGGGGTGTGGTGGCGGGGGCTAGGGTCGAGGGTGGGCGGGGTGGTTCTGGTGCTGGTGGGCTGGCTGAAACAGAAGACAACAACGTTTAATTTTCATATGAGGGGTTGAAACATGTTTAGCCTTTCTTATAGGGAGGGGGGGGTGTGAAACGTATACCCCCTCTCTTATGGGGGAGGTGAAACAAATGGACAACAGGAAATTTGAATGAAATCAGAAGAATGTGAATGCATGGTTGGTATAGTATAGACCTACATGTCGTACAAGCAACGCTTAAGTACACATGTAGAATCTGTGTTCACATGCGCAATGTCTTGTATAAATGTCTTGGAAGTGTCGTCATCAGGCGTGACATCTAACCGTCAAATAAAAACACTTGACGTCCGCCATTGGTTGATTTTAAAATATCCGAAACAAGCAGAAACACATGACTAGTTTAACCAACCAAAAACTCCAGACATGTCAGACAAAAAATGTGCTGGCTGGCATTACAGTGACCTCTGACCTTACAATGTATGTAAACAACAACAATAAAAAATGAGCGCAGACGACAGACAGCTCACAGCAACGTGTTACCGGAAGTGGGAGGTTTTTGGGTCACAGAGCCAGGACAGATGATACGGGGAGTTTGTGTGTGGGGAGTTTGTGTGTGGGGAGTTTGTGTGTGGGGAGTTTGTGTGTGGGGAGTTTGTGTGTGGGGAGTTTGTGTGTGGGGAGTTTGTGTGTGGGTGACGGGGAGTTTGTGTGTGGGTGAGGGGGAGTTTGTGTGTGGGTGACGGGGAGTTTGTGTGTGTGTGAGGGGGAGTTTGTGTGTGGGTGACGAGGAGTTTGTGTGTGGGTGAGGGGGAGTTTGTGTGTGGGTGACGGGGAGTTTGTGTGTGGGTGAGGGGGAGTTTGTGTGTGGGTGACGGGGAGTTTGTGTGTGGGTGAGGGGGAGTTTGTGTGGGTGACAAGGGCTCTCGTCTGTGTAGTGGTATGTGAGGGTGGTAGGTTATGTGTGGGTGACGTTAAATGTGTGGGCGTTGTGTCATGTTTGGTTGGTGTTTTATGGATGTTGGTGTTTTATGGATGGTTGGTGTTTTGAGTGAGTGGTGGAGTGAGGTGGTGGTGTGAGTGGGTAGTGGTGTGTGTGGTTGGTGGTTTGGATGTGCGTTGTGTTTATGTGTGGGTGGTGTATACAGTGCAAGTGTTGTTTTATATAACTGTGTTGTTCCACGTGTGTCATGTGTTCTGTGTATAGATTTGTTCTGTGTATAGATTTGTTCTGTGTATAGATTTGTTCTGTGTATAGATTTGTTCTGTGTATAGATTTGTTCTGTGTATAGATTTGTTCTGTGTATAGATTTGTTCTGTGTATAGATTTGTTCTGTGTATAGATTTGTTCTGTGTATAGATTTGTTCTGTGTATAGATTTGTTCTGTGTATAGATTTGTCAGCTCATGTAGCAGGCAACTAAGTCTGTTGACTGTAGTCAGTCACGTGGGCCACATGCGGCCCCATGAATGGATCCCACGTACCATGGCGTGGGAACCGCTGGTCAACAAATACCACAACACGACCTGTGTGTTCTTGTTAATTAATGAACCGCGCTCTAATTAGGTCAGACTGCTTGGTCGTTGATCAGCTGAGATCAAAAGAGGTCTAACAACAGGTTCAAACAACGTGTAATTAGATCACTTTGGCCCTGAACAACTTAAACATCTGTCATTAGATCTGTCAAATGTCATGAGAATTGTCATTTAAGCTTGTTATGGTAACCTTCATGTCATGAGAACTGTCATTTAATCTTGTTATGGTAACCTTCATGTCATGAGAACTGTCATTTGATCTTGTTATGGTAACCTTCATGTCATGAGAACTGTCATTTGATCTTGTTATGGTAACCTTCATGTCATGAGAACTGTCATTTGATCTTGTTATGGTAACCTTCATGTCATGAGAACTGTCATTTGATCTTGTTATGGTAACCTTCATGTCATGAGAACTGTCATTTAAACTGAGATGGTAACTTTCAACACCTTAATCATACAGAGATACAAGAAAACCTGGTACAAACCCCTGTCCAACAATAACCCGGAGATACGTGGGTGTGGCTAAATGATCATTTTTTAGACTGGTCGACTGGACATTACATTTTCCGACACGTGCAGATAAAATTAACAAACGTGTTTATGGTTGAGTTGTGAGACTAAAATAATTGAGGCATGAGAGCCCATTCATGTGGATAAATAAACCACTGAGGCAAATCGTTTGCTGCTCGACTAAAAGACATTTTTGTAAACAAATCAAATTGTGATTCAGAGAAAACTGCTGGTGTATCACATGTTAGGCCCCGCCCATTGACCCTGGGGCTAATTAATTAACAGAACACCTTATTGTAGGTCTTATCAGGAGAAAGGTCAACGAGGTCACCCAGTTATCTGGGAGTCATTCATGCCGTGTGTCGCGTATGTAGGTCACTTCAGTGTGGGGATGGGGGGGGGGGGGGACACATGCAGTGTTGGCAGAGATTTTAGCTGACATGGGCGTCTTATGCAGGTGGGAGACATCTTTTGGTGTGAGAGGCGTCTACTCTAATGGTGTGAAGATGTTCTTTGGAGTGTTGAGGGGGGGGGGGGGGAAGATGCGTCTTTAGGTGGAAGGAGTGGACTTTGGTAACAAGGGGCGTCTTTTAGGGGTGGGAGCGTCTTTGAGTGACAGGGGCTGGGAGAGACTGTTAGCGTGGGAGGGGTGTGGCCAGACTGGGTGTAGAGTGACGGGAAGCTCAGATATTGGTGTCTGGAAATTGGATGGGGGAGGGGGGGGGGGGGGAGTCGTCCAATGCAGACTTTACACCAGAGTTTTGTTTTTAGACATTTTAAAACCTCGGCAGCAGATATTTTATTGGTAGGCCCTGGTACTACAAGCATTTTAGACAACCAAACACAGCAACATAGCAACTTTAACAACACAGCAATATACAAACTTGAACACACAGCAACATACAAACTTGAACACACAGCAACATACAAACTTGAACACACAGCAACATACAAACTTGAACACACAGCAACATACAAACTTGAACACACAGCAACATACAAACTTGAACACACAGCAACATACAAACTTGAACAGCAGTCGTCTGTTCTGTATTTTATGCCCTATAATGCTATAACACCTTAGTTGAACTATGCTGACCCACATTGCACACATTTACCATTGGCCTTATTCGTGAATGTGTTGAATTAGATGAAACTGTGTACAAGAGCTTTAAGTGGTGTCATATGTAGTGCGTTCAATTGAGTCAAGTGATGTGTATCATCAGGTCGTGTCCAGTCGAGTGATGTGTCCAGTCAAGTGATGTGTCCAGTCAAGTGATGTATCCAGTCAAGTGATGTGTCCAGTCAAGTGATGTGTCCAGTCGAGTGATGTGTCCAGTCAAGCTGTGTGTCCAGTCACGTGATGTGTCCAGTCAAGAGATGTGTCCAGTCAAGAGATGTGTCCAGTCAAGAGATGTGTCCAGTCAAGAGATGTGTCCAGTCAAGTGATGTGTCCAGTCAAGTGATGTGTCCAGTCTAGCCATGTGTCCAGTCTAGTCATGTGTCCAGTCAAGAGATGTGTCCAGTCAAGTGATGTGTCCAGTCAAGTGATGTGTATCATCAGGTCGTGTCCAGTCAAGAGATGTGTCCAGTCAAGAGATGTGTCCAGTCAAGAGATGTGTCCAGTCAAGTGACGAGTCCAGTCAAGCCATGTGTCCAGTCAAGCCGTGTGTCCAGTCAAGTAATGTGTCCAGTCAAGCCGTGTGCCCAGTAAAAACTGTCCATGTACTCACCGTCTTTAGTGACGAAGCTGTTGAGGTCCTTGATGTTGTCGTACAGCTGCTTTAGGATCTGGTCAAACTCGTCGTAGTCCTGCTGTAGTGTCGCCTCATAATCCGGCTGCCGGCTGGCGCTGTCCATATCCGGCTGCCGGCTGGCGCTGTCCATATCCGGCTGCCGGCTGGCGCTGTCCGGGCCCATATCCGGCAAGAAATACGAGTCTACACTGGCACTGTGGGTCACTTTACTTGACCGCACGAACGACGACTCGGAGCTGGACTCCCTGCTCGAGTGACTGACCCGTGACTCCCCCGGGCTGTCCCCCAGCGTCCTGACGGGGGAGTCAAAATCTGAGCTCCGCCCTCGCAGTCTGACGTCATTGTCCGAGGACGTTTCCGAGTTGCTGACCACAGAACTGGCCCGAGATTCCTGGATGTTATCCAGCCTGTGGGGTTCAAAGTTCACCGTTCTATTTTTAGCATCCCCTGAGTCTCTAGCGCTGAAGCCCGTGGGTACTCGATCCACTGGTTTTTCTTTGGGAAAAGGCAGCTCGATCACTCCAGGAATAATACTGGGTTTTTCCGATTCTCGCTTGTTGTCCCCGGGTAGAAAATTGTCGTAAAAACTGAACCTGTGACCCCCGGGCGTGACGTCAGACTGCTGGACTGCCGGTGACGTCTGGGTGACGGACGGCGACACGTCACGACCCTGCCAAAGCCCAACCGGTCGGGTGTTTCCGGAAGTGTCCGTTTCTATGTAGCCGTTTTGCAACACGGTGGGGAAGCGGCCGGGCTGGTGGTCCTGGGGCAGGAGAAAGATCTCGAGCAGGTTCGTGTCGCTGTTGTTCTTCCTCACCGAGCCGGGCTGCGAGGTCTCCAGCGTGTGCTGCAGCTGCGAGTGGGCGCTGTAGTACTCGTCCAGGCTTGAGTTCTGCTGCAGCTGTTGCTGGTGTCGGGTGCTCGGCCGGTGGGTGTGGTACGTGGGGTGGACACGCATCGACTGGCTTCCCGGGGCGTAGCGGGATCGAAATGGTAGACTGTCTGAGGGGGTAGGGATCTGGTCTTCTCTAGGGGAGACTAAGGTTGCCGTACGGTCTGAGGCGACTTGGGTAGGTACACGTTCAGGGGCGGCTTGGTTAGCAGTACGTTCAGGGACAGCTTGGTTGGCCGTACGTTCAGGGGCGGCTTGATTAGCCGTACGTTCAGGGACGGCTTGGCTGGCCAGCCCGTCAGATGTGGGCGAGATGTCCCGACAGTTGAGCTTCTGTAGCTTGGCCTGCATGTTCTCCTTGTCTGCCACCACTGGACCACTGATCTCGATGATGTTCCGGTTGTGGGGGTGTCGGCGCGGCTTCTTCGTCTTGAACCCTTCAACTTTCTTCCAAATGTTTTTGGCGGATTTGATCTTCTCGCTGGCCGCGCGTCTTAACCGTGGCGAGATGGAGGCGTCGGGGGCGTCGTCCGGTGACCGCTGGTGGGCGGGGTCGCTGATCTGACGCAGGGTCTCGTGCTCCGAGGGCGCCAGCTCGGGCATGACCTCAGGCCGGTGGGGCATCTTCTGCCCGAGGAGCGGGCTGTCCCCGGTCAAGCTGTCCTGGTCAGCAAGCAGGCTGTCATGGCTGCCGGAGCGGGTGTCCAGCGCGGCGCGCGCCTCGGCTCTGGCCGGCTCCTTCCTTGACCAGCGCCGGGCAGTCTTCTGGTACTCCCAGCGTTCACTCAGGGCACAGAAGTCCTCCTCGTCCTCCTCCTCGCTCGCTCCCTGGGGAGGGGAAAAATATTAATTTAACTTTTTGTCGACGTTTTCAATCAAAATAATAAAGCCATCGTATAATTTTAATACATAGATTACTGAGAGTCAATTTTTTTTTACCACCCACCAAATGTGACAGTGAGGTGAGGTAACAGACAAATGTGGAAAGGGGGGGGGGGGATGACATCAGAAAGTATACCGGTCATTATTCCTGACGAAAACATACCCAGCAATTTTTAAAAAAATACTACAGCAGTTAATTTATCATTTAAAATATAGCAATTAACATTTCAGAAAAAAATGTATCACAAAATATATTACAAACGTAGTCAAGGCAAATGTTCTAATGAAAATACACAATATAAATATAGTTGCAGATCTACCAAATAAAATACTTTAAACAAATTTCTTGACATGCATCATCATATTATACCACACAGAATGTAAAGCCTTCCATTGAAGTTATACACAGCATAAGGTATAACCTAGACTGTATAACAAACAGTATAAGTTATACACAGCATAAGGTATAACCTAGACTGTATAACAAACAGTATAAGTTATACACAGCATAAGGTATAACCTAGACTGTATAACAAACAGTATAAGTTATACACAGCATTAGGTATAACCTAGACTGTATAACAGTATAAAGTATATAGTATAAAGTACATAGTATAAAGTATATAGTAAACGGTAAACAGTATAAAGTACAAAGTATAAAGTCCACCCCACCTTTCTCTTGTCGTGACCCATGGAGATACAGCACCTCATGAGATCTTTCAAATTGTTCGTTCTATCATGGGGTGCGATGTCCGGCACTAGCACTGTCCGAGTATCCGGCAGTGTCCGATTATCAATGTGCTAGTCCTATCATCGAATCCAATGTCCAGCACTGTCCGTGTATCAATGTGCTAGTCCTACCATGAAATCCACCCTCCCAATACGTCCGACACTGTCCGTGAATTATAACAACAAACACTGCCGTGGTCGCGAGCTAATGCCGTCCCATCCAGCACAGATCCCAGTACACATCCCATCTCTAGAATCCCAGGCCGAGCCAAGCGCCGAGAGCGTGCAGGGCTGTGAGTGCCGGGACAAGTGCGGCCAATCCATCTTCCCGTGAGAATATGCCTGACATCCGACACAACTTGACCTCCACACATCAACACGGCTCTGGCCAACAGTGGCAGCACTTGACTGGCCAGTCGCGCCTGTGCCAGTTAGGACGTCAGTTGGCTGTGCCAGTTAGGACGTCACTTGGCACCAGATCTAGGCCAGCCGGAGCACCGTGACAATTTCACTTGTTCATGGCCAGTCACGCGGGTAACCGACCGGGGTGGGTGGGCTCTTTCATCTATTTATAGCTCTCGCATCACGTGACCAGTTAGGAACAATCAAATCTGACCTCCATGTAAGAATGTGTTCACTTTATAGTGCCTTGTTGTTGTTGTTGGTTCGTACAAAATAAAAGGAAGAACTGAGTGACATGCAGTGATCCAAGTGCTAGTGGTTCGCTATATTACGTTAGGTCAGTAAGACAAACATCGTGTTGGATGTTACTGGTCACCGTATGTTAGGTGTCGTGTACTGGTGGGGTTCAAATCTTCAAGAGGCTGCTTAACAACGAGCTCACCTTGGGCACCACATGGTGATTCGTCTGTCATCCACATATATGTGTGCTTAACTACCATCACCTAAACCCCAAATGTATTCAACTACCACTGAGGTCAACCACCTCCACACCACACACGTGACCACAACCACAAGTAACTACTACCACCACAACCACATCCACCTGACACCCCTAACACCCCCCCCCCTCCCATGACACCCCCAGACCTACAATCTACAGTCCCAGATAAGCGGCTATCGTGTTGCCATTGCCAGGCTCCGCTAATGAAGCGACACCTCGCTCATACTTGTGACCTCTGACCCGTGACCTCTGGCGTGTTAATCTCTCTTTTGTTTGACTGGATAACAATTACACACGTGTGTTACGAGGGCAACTACACACGTGTGTTGAGGGGGCAACTACACACGTTTGAGTTCAAATGTCAAAGGCGCGTGTTAGAGAAGGATAGTTTTGACAGAAAATATAACAGGTAAATGGTTGCAAATGGAAAATATTAAAGGTAAAAAGTGGACATTTCACACAGGCTAGAGAAAAATATATTTAAAGTAGATATTAAGCAATAAAATAGGTAAAACTGGATTAAACAATTAAAAAAAATGTATCTTTACCTTCTTGTTGGGGTGGGTATCTATTTTCATACCCGCATGTTTGTTGAGCGTCTCCACCCGTCTGTAACATAAAGAATACAGGTGTTACAGGTAGGTTAGTGGTAGGTAGGTCAGTGACAGGTAGGTCAGTGGCAGGTGAGTCAGTGACAGGTAAGTCAGTGACAGGTAGGTCAGTGGCAGGTAAGTCAGTGGCAGGTAAGTCAGTGACAGGTAAGTCAGTGACAGGTAAGTCAGTGACAGGTAGGTCAGTGGCAGGTAAGTCAGTGGCAGGTAAGTCAGTGACAGGTTGGTCAGGGACAGGTAGGTCAGTGACAGGTAGGTTATACAGGTAAGTTAGTAGCCGGTAGTCAAGCCGCGCACTAGTACAACAAAACTTGCCGTCCTTGGATTGTGCTGTATTCGTACACTAACATGACACAACACCGTCAACAACATGACACAACACCGTCAACAACATGACACAACACCGTCAACAACATGACACAACACCGTCAACAACATGACACAACACCGTCAACAACATGACACAACACCGTCAACAACATGACACAACACCGTCAACATGACACAACACCGTCAACAACATGACACAACACCGTCAACAACATGACACAACACCGTCAACAACATGACACAACACCGTCAACAACATGACACAACACCGTCAACATGACACAACACCGTCAACATGACACAACATTGTCAACATGACACAACATTGTCAACAACATGACACAGTACCGTTAACAACAGGCCACAATACCGTCAACATGACACAGTACAGTTAACAACAGATCACAATACCGTCAACATGACACACAACCGTCAAAGCCAGGTCACCGTACCGTCCACACCATATGACCGTACCACCACTGTACTGTCCATTGACCCTGTATTACCACATGTGCTGGAAACAACTCCATGTGCTGGTCACTTAGAACTGTGTCCAACGATTACGTCACTGGTCACTTAGAACTGTGTCCAACGATTCCGTCACGTCTGCTAGACCCCGCCCCTACCAACAAACGTTTCGTCATCACGACGTGCTCCGTGTCACGTCTGCCGTCTGTTTTCTCGGAATGTCACGCCGACAGCACGTCCGATAAAACCGTTAGTGTAGCTGCAAGTACACCAGTACCACACCCGCCAATACTGGCCCAACACAATGCTGTGTCGGCACAAAAAATTGTGTCAAATAAACAAACATGACGTCACCTTACCTGTCTAAAACAAGTAGAGCATTTTTTTTTTAATCTTTGAAAGCTGTAAATTAAAACTAAGAATTCCACACGATTTTTTTTATCTGCCACTACAGAATCAACAAGGGAGACTAGCCAGTTGAGTGTAATCCTTCCCGTAGAGATCCCAGCCACAAATAAACAGGAGAGATAACTGTGTTCACGTGACTTGAGCCCGCTTGAGCGTGGCGTTACGCTATAGCCGGCGTTACGTTGTACCAATCAGTTAGCGATCGATTGACGGAGCCACAGAAATCATTCAACGCGGACTGACAGCACGTCTATTCCGTTAGCTCGGTCACAATACTGTGCATATTTGTTTATATGACACTCTCAATAGTGTGCAGAATTATTTTTTTTCTTTCCGGGTTAGTTCGATGAATAAATTGTAATGTTGGTATTAAAAATCACGTATTTGTATCTGTATGTTAGATTGTAGCTAGGGTTATGTGGATTTGTTACACTAGTTTGGTTCATTGCACTACGCTTCATACCATCATAATCTTATACCGTTGAATCCCAACACACGCGACAGATGAAGTAGAGTTAATCTGTTTCAATGACCTCGGCCTGCAAAGGGACAGTGTGGTCAGCACTACGCCCTGCCGCCTATGTTTCCCTAACGTGAATCAGGTACCCATAAGAGCTGAGTGTACTCAGGGGCGTGCTGATGTCCGAACGCAAGACTTTCTGGTTAGCAGTCGAGCGTTCTATCGCTCGACTACATCTTCCCTTGGCGTATTTAAAGCGATATTTAACCCCCAATTAAACAATACCTTAAAAATCAAGATCATTAAACGTTAACAAAACATAAACAAATCTACGTCACAAAACATTAACAATACCTAAACAAAGATACGCCAAGACAAATGTTATGACAACATCACCAACAGCTGATGGCTATAACAACATCCCTTATTTAACTGACCCAGTTGACCCCACCAGCTCCCACCCCGGGCTATCAGCGCTAACAACCCCAATGACCCATTTCTCCGTCTAACGACCCGTCGGGCCGACCCGTGTCAGGCCATCATCAAAGACCGCGAGCTTTGAGCGAGGGCAATTAAACAACACGTGAATAATATCCCCCCTCAGCTAGCTTAAGACTCGGCTATTAAATTACCTTTTTTAAACAAATAGATGCTCATAAACAAAGATCCAATTGAGTCGCAAGTTTAACAAAACATCAACGTGTTTACTCCTCATATCAGTGTGTGTACGGTGACCATCAAGCTATACCAACACGTGTGTTGCTGTGTGACCATCAAATCACGAGAGTCAATGTGTTACTGGCAATAACACTTCACCGCATCTACAGGCTTCAATTGTTTTGTCTTGATTGCTAATGAGCTATAGCTCATTAATTATGTCTCATATAATCAAATGTACATTAAGTGGATAACTGGGTAATTGCTGACCAATTGAGAAAATGGTCATTAGAATTGCCCCCCCCCCCCCCCCCCCCGGCCTGCTTGTATCGAACGACCATGTGCTTGATTGGGCAGGGGAGATAAGTGAAAACAAGGGAAATAACTTGCAAGAAAGGGGGACAATTTCGAGAAGAAAATAGTTAAATGAAATCTGTCTAGATTAGTCTATAATAACTACACACACGCATACAGAAAAACACCTACACACCTACACACAAACATACAGACCTATACACACAATCAAGCACAAACACACAAACGTTGCGAGGTTGATGTGTAGCTGTTGGACACACTACAAATGTAAGGCAGGCAGATGGATGGTGTGGAGTCAGTGGTGTGTGACCACTTGACCCCCCCCCCCACCTCTCTCTCGACCAGGACCCAGCTCCCCCCCCCCCCCCCACTAGTGCGAGTCTAGAGCCGGGTCAAGTGTTTAAACCACCAACTACAGTACACGCCCGTGTTATTTTGTTGATACTAATTTTTTTGTTTTAACTTTTCAGAAACATGCCACCGTACATTTGAAAAATCTGGCAGAAAGCGGAAGCTGGTTCAGTCAGCTCGACTTCCGGTTGTTGCTAACACAACAGTGGGGTGGACTGGGGGGGGGGTCCGTTTCCGCAGCCACTCAAGGATTGTGTGTATGCTATGTAATATGTTGAAGGTCACGTGACAAGATGAAGGTCACGTGACAAGATGAAGGTCACGTGACAAGATGAAGGTCACGTGACAAGATGAAGGTCACGTGACAAGATGAAGGTCACAGCCAATCATTGTACGGCAAGTGTCAGTGGCCTTCTAACCCTCCACTAAGCCTCTAACTAACCCTAATCATCGACAAAACATTTAAACTAACCCTAACCCTCCACTAATCTTAACTCTCCCCCCCCCCCCCACACCCACGTGACTGTACTACTCGTTTTTCTCCTCCCACGCGCAGATCGTGTCACACTAATCCCCACCCCTCGAACATTTGTTTATTTTCGTAATGGCTGACCTCGTTCTGGAATCGCTTAAGGTCATCGGATAACGTCTGCTGATAAGCTTTCGAGGCGAGTTATTTACGGCCCAGCGCGGCCAGTGGTCCAAGCTACATAGATAAAGCAGAGGCTCGTGGATCAGTCTGCCGCTACACGACTTAAGGGGCAAAAATTTTGGGCGGTAGTTTCACGTCACATGACATCACGTGACTAACTTCTGGCTATTTTTAGCTCGGGGCGCCTACTTATAAATCTTGTTTTAAAATTAATTTAATGTTTCTTATTAAACGTTAATTTAGAAAACTATAAGTTATAAATATAAATTAACAAAACCTACTTACAAAAAGTTAGAAAATTTGGCGGTTGTAAAAATGTGAGTTAAAAACAACATTGGATCTCCTTGGATTAAGATAATCCGAGCCTGTGTGTGTACAAGTGCTCTCAACACTCGAGAAATTCTTCCCTCGACAGGCTACGAGCGGATTTTGTTCCTATATCCTTACCAGTCTATCCTTACCAGTCTATCCTTACCAGTCTATCCCACTACGGCCCACACGGCACAGCACACGGCCATTTTATTCCGGAAGACACAGACACTCCAAACTGGCGTCGTAGTCTGCATTCCGCACTTGGTAAATAGAGTTAGGTCACCCGGAAGCCGGGATTAAGATTAAACGATATCGGATTAAGATTGAACGAGACTGGATTAAGATTAGACGAGATTGGGTTCAGAGTAAATGAGACGGCGTTTAGTCGGCGTTTGACGACCTCCGCAGTACCGGTACGATGACGTCACCAACGGATGTGACGTGCGGCTAATGATGAGTGGAGCGAGTAGATGATGTCACTGTAGCTGGCAGAGGATGTGGCACCCGGTGTCTGTCATACACCTGGTCACGCCTGGCCGAGCAGCGGGTTCCGTTTCAACGGTGGCATCCTTCAGGACAACCCCCCCCCCTCCTTTCAACATACACTGGTGTAGTCGTAACTGGAGCGTAAAGTAATTTTTTGTCACTGATTGTCACATCGGTTATAATTAGCTCTCATATATTCGAACCTCCCCCCCCCCCTCTCACAGAGCCAAGTGTACGGCGCAGATTTTCTCCTACTAAATCCGGTGTAGAGGGGGGGGGGTGTGAACGTTTCTGAGAGAACAAGACGGCATTACGGTAAAGGACCGTTAAATGCTAGTTATACATTTCTTAAATCACGATAAAATTCCTAACCAGTCGTCAACCTAATCACGTGACTTTGATCAGCTGACCAAACACAAGAATTTAACATTTTACTTCCGTTTTATCATTAACATTATATTTTAGATGCAAGTTTCGAAACTCATTTTAAAATCAATTTAATTAGATTCTATGCACAGATAATTTTTTGACTTCCTTCATTAATCACAGAATTAATTACCTTAATTAGCCTCACACACAAAACAAATTTATCCCCAAAAGTTCCAGAACAAAATCGGCCGGCACCGGAAAACAAACCTCGTTGTGGAGTAAACTTCCGGTCTAAGGGCGGACTAAAGATGGCTGATAACGTTGTGAGGGGGTGGGTGTGGTGACCCACATATCTCGCCCAACACTCCCTTTGTTTACATCTAACGGTCCCTAATTATTCACACAGGTGGGCATGGTCTTTGTCTACACGACGTTTAGAACTGTGAACATCTGGTACAACATTACCTTAACCCTAACCGTGGATTATGTTTTACCTTTTTAATGTATTCAAACATACAACCGGAGCACATAATCCAAAAAATATTGTACATAAAGAGGTATTTAACACTAACCCATTAACACTAACCCATTAACACTAACACTAACACATTAACACCAACACTAACCCATTAACACTAACCCATTAACACTAACACTAACACATTAACACCAACACTAACCCATTAAAACTAACACTAACACATTAACACTAACACTAACACATTAACACTAACCCATTAACACTAACACATTAACACCAACACTAACCCATTAAAACTAACACTAACACATTAACACTAACACTAACACTAACACATTAACATTAACACTAACACATTAACACTAACACTAACCCATTAACACTAACACTGTGCACAAATCAGAGTTCGGTTATAACCTGTGGCCTAGCCCAATTTTCAATAAATGAATACATAATTTATCAACAATGAATAGGCCTAGGTGATTTATCAGAAATGAATAGGCTACCTAATATATTAATATTACATAAATAATTAATCAATAAGGAATACATATGCTTTAAAAAAATGGTTACGTAATGTATTCATAATGAATGTATAATTTATAAATAATGAATATATAATTTATAAATAATGAATATAAGCCAATAATTTATAAATAAACAATGTATAAAATGGCCTTGTAATGACAAACCTTGCCGCCACTTGACCTAACCCTAATCCCCTGTCACCCCATACGGTAATGTACGTCTAATCCAACTGTTCCAACAACCCAATAAATTATCGGCGCACACAGTTTTTATGTCGGGGTACGATTTAAATAAAACACACACAAATAAAACATTTACCGATAAAAAAACAAAACATCACCACTTTTTTGTCGATAATTTACACACGTTTACGGCCTAATAAATAACTGGAGGACAGTGGAGTTTGTGTTGTTTCCTTAGCAGCCAAAACCCTTCTCACACTCAACATTCACCCCCACCCCTCAAGCCCACACCCCCACCCCGCCCGTAGAGGACAGAAAACCAGAGCGTCGCCGCGTTACGCAGGAAACCCCCAACAGGTCTGGGCCACACGGGGCGGATGTTCACGAGAGGGATACGCTAGCAGACGCCAGCAGTGCTACCATCAAGACGCCATTGTTCAACTCTGACGACCTAAGTCCGAGACTTATCCAAACTATTTGCCCTCGACCGACGGCTCAATTCACTCGGCCGAGGAAAAACTACTCGGGATTAGCGCTGAGGCCATTACAGCACGTTTTTTTGACGCCATTCTCCCCCGTTGCTAGAATCGAGGATTTGCGTTGTCAGGGGCGGTAACTGTGGTGAAACCGTGGGGCGGATTTAATTCAAGAGTCGCGGCCCTTTGAGGCGTGCCTATTGGAGGTATTAGGGCGACAAACACAGACACTACAATTATTTTAAACCAATACGCTTCGGCTCTCAGCACTAATGCATACCAGGATTCCATAGTTTAATAACACATAACATTTGGCATACAGATAAGAAGGGGTTTTATAACAACAGCGGTAGTCAAGGCGACTGAAAGATAAGGGAAAATATATTTAGACTATTTAAAAAAAATTCTTTTTCTCTTTTCCAAGAATGATTTTTTTTTTATTTTTTTTTTTTTGCGACGAAGAGTCTGAGTCTTAACGTTAAATAGATAATGCTAACGGATGACTATCATGAGCACCAATTTTATGGGCACTTGTTCGCGCAAAATTAAAAGCGTGTCACGCGTTTGACAGGTGTGCACGATACGTCTGCTATAAAGGAGGTAAGGTCTGGTTACGTCATTGGTCACCTGATCAGTAAATGACCAGCATGGTAGGGTGAAGCTGGCCAAAATCGCCCACGTGTAACGCTGCACTGGTAGCATTATCAATGCTACACTGGTAGCATTATCAATGCTACACTGGTAGCATTATCAATGCTACACTGGTAGCATTATCAACGCTACACTGGTAGCATTATCAATGCTACACTGGTAACATTATCAATGCTACACTCCTAGCATTGTCCGCACGTCAAAACGTGAGTATCTGTTACTACTTCAGTCACGACCTCATCACGGAGCCGTAAGTTTCTACAGCTGCGCATCTCTACCACAGCTTCCACGCTGCAAGCTGTGTTGCGCTCAAGTCAAGGTCGGATATGACGTCATCTTGAAGCTGTGCTTTACTGCTGCTCATCCCACAGCTCCAACACCGGAAGCCGTAACAGCTCCTACGCTGTTACACCACGGAAGCTGTGCTATTGTAATCCATACTGCCGAGCCCCACATCTCAAACAACGGAAGCCGTGAAGCGATATCACACCGGAAGCTGTAGCCGCGCCAACACCGGAAGCCGTAATGTGTACAGCAGAATATCTGCCAGATGTAAGGTGGCTGCTTACACGCAGGGGCCACGTAAGCAGATGTAAGCAGATACCTCAGCCAGTGTAAGCCCTCTTTATACCACAGCCCGTGTAAGCCCTCTTTATTAACCGGTTATCGATTGAAAGTCGTGTTCTATTTTAAGCCCGCGACCTCTAAGCCACGTGTGACAATTGTGACGTCACTCTACACACACGAAGTGGGTCAGGTGGTGTAGCGTATTAGTCCCAATATTTGCGGAGATTTACGGTAAACAATGTCATATTTAGTTTTGATGTCAAAGGTTGTGCTATGACGTCAGAAAAAAGAAGAGCTGATTTAAGGAAAAAGTGGAATTAGAGTGGGGGTGGGGGAGGGGTGGGGGGGAGAACAAACAGTTGGGGTTAGGTAGGTAAACAGGTAGAGTGCAGCGTCAGGTGGTATAGTGGGGGACAGACAGACAGACAAACAGACTGACAGATGTGAAGAATGTGTTATTCAGATTTAGAAGAAAAAATCTACTTGTGTAGTGGAGAGACCAGATTAGTGGTGTACTGGGTTACCCCACTTTACCTGGGTGACATTACACAATAGTCGTGTAGAGACATATCAGCTACACAATAGTCGTGTAGAGACATATCAGCTACACAATAGTCGTGTAGAGAAATAGCAGCTACACAATAGTCGTGTGGAGAAATATCAGCTACACAATAGTCGTGTAGAGAAATACCAGCTACACAATAGTCGTGTAGAGAAATACCAGCTACACAATAGTCGTGTAGAGACATACCAGCTACACAATAGTCGTGTGGAGACATAGCTACACAATAGTCGTGTAGAGACATACCAGCTACACAATAGTCGTGTAGAGACATACCAGCTACACAATAGCAGCTGTGTCATGTAGCTACCAGCTACATTATAGACTGAAGAAGATGTCAAGTAGCATAAAGCCAGCTATACATTGCAGTCCTTTCTATCTTACATAATAGTAACATATATCTATCAAACATGGCGAATAAAATATGAAAAGATTTCAACGGGAAAATGTCAAGTGTGACATAGAGACAGGTACACATGTGACAAACGTGTACAATAAAACAATGTTCGATGATTTTATAACAATTGTGAGACCTACACAAAAACAGAAAGCTAGTTTTTAACAAAAAATATTAGAGATTTTAATAACTGAATTGTTTTCAACAGTGAAATATGTCCATGCCATAGATATAAACAGAGAGTAAAACAAATGAAATAGGAGTTTTGTTTTACAGTATTCTACAAAAGAAAAGTTGCATTCGACTCAGATTTAAACATCAGAAAATAGAGCTAGTGTTAGAAGTAGGTTTATAATTAGACACAAAAAGAAGTTTTTAGCGACAGAAACCAAAATTGTTGGTGCTGATGGTTTAAGTGGTTACAGTCAATGTTGGGTCTATGGCAGATAGCGCAGGCTATATACACGCTACACACAGACTACACACAAGACAGACTGAACATATGCTACACACAAAACGTGTAATCAACAACAAAACAGGCAAATGTTTAAAAAACTTACCGAAACAGTGACTGTAGGGAATCAGCGTCAAGAAAGTCGTGATCCCTCTCGACCACACGAAGGTCCACGGGAAACTGACCATCTGCAAACAGATGACCGGAGGTAGAAAAACATTTTTTTAAAAATTTCCTAAACACCAAAAAAATATTTGCAATAGAAAATTTCCTAAGATAAATTACCTCATCGTTAGCAACTGCTCACTGGCTTATTTAAAAAAAAAAAAAAAAAACCCTCAAAATCAGAAACTAGATCCTAAACTAAATCCTAACTAGATCCTACACTAAATCCTAAACTGGACCTTTAACGACTCACGGATTACTCGAAATGAAACTAAGACCCTCGCACCGTTTCGGGATTTCCCGATCGGTGCGTCACCAATTCCCTTTTGTTCTACGGGATTTTCCTCTGGCGCAAACTAAGTTTTATTGTTCCAACCCGATGTGTCATTGGTAGATCAATGATTAATTTTTTTTCCTTCTATAGACAAAGTCCACGGTGGTGTGGCAGATGGGGTGGGTGGGGATGGGATGGGGGTGGGGATGGGGGTGGCGCCATCACGTGAATGGACGCGCGTGCATGCACTCGGCCGATCTAACGGTACCTGAGATTGTGGCAATCGATGGCCCATTGTGCCGGGGCTGGAGGGGTTTGTTTTAGATCGCGGCCTCGGTCTGATGGTAAACGGTGTGTGTGTGGGGGGGGGGGGGGTCGATACGGTGACTCCGTCCATCACGACAGGCAATGCCTAGAACGTAGAAGCTTACAAAGACTTGCATGACTCACGTGGGCTGATCTAATGCATGTTTTACTTTAATGATTGCCGCAGTCAACGTTGATTCTTGATTAGTTCATCGATTTTCTACCCTCAATGCTGCAGCCTCCCACCCCTCCCCCCACCCCACACTGAAGCATGCGGGGGTCATTACTCTATGTGGCAACAGTTGATGCGAAACAAAGACTTGACGAAAGCGTTGACAAACAAAGCCAGCCTCGATATGAAACATACAGAATATAAAGAAACTGTATTTTATTTATTTAACCAGAGTGGGTTAACTAGAGAAAGGCGCGAGCTAGTTTTGTTTTTCACCGAGCCGGGTGTAGAGGGTTAAAACAAAAACTTCCGCGAAAGATGAAACAACCCCAGGCTCTATATTGTGAGCAAGTTTACCATCTTAAGATCGCATTTTGTTCGTTAGATCTGTGTTTGTTCCTCTTTTGTATTTCGTTTAATGTCTTTGTTTTGTCACACATTCGAAGAATGACCTGCTGTACACAAGACTTTGTTTACATCTACTGCATTGTGTACATAGGTGTACCAACACTTGCTAAAGCTAATCTGGGATGTTTTTTGTTGTAGTGTTGCAAGCCACAGAGGGTGATGGACGCAGGATCAACGGACGCCAGATGATACTGATAGGTGCCGGACGCCGAGTGGGTGGTAGTGCCGGAAGCCGGATAGATTATTCCGGACCCAAGATGTATTTCACGGGTGCCGTGATAGGATGAAAGAAAACTACCGCCTGGCATAATGTCAACAGGACGGCAATTGGCCGAAGTTTTAATCAATGCAGGGGCAAGTGGGGTCAGGGTCAGTTGTTGACCTCTGATGGGACGGGGACGCCGTTATGTGCCAGGATAGGGCAGTGGGTCAACTGTAGGACCCCCGGGATGGGACACAAGAGCGAGTAGGGTCGGTCAATTGACCGCAAGATGTTTAACGTCTAACTAATTGACCACAAGGTATTTGAGTAATTAAGTCAATTAAGTTTGACTAACATTATTTGTATCAAGAAAAGCTAAAAATAAATATATTTTCTACCTACAAAGCAGTATGCACACACACAAAGCTTTACACATCACGTAACTCAGTACCTCCGCTCAGTAGCTAATGTAGTACTCACACGTGACCACCCACACACCAAGTAATCAGACAGTACTCACCTTCGTACATCTGAGAGTACTGAGGAAACCCTGCCGCCCTCAGCCATTTTAGCGCCTCTAAAACCTCGAGCTCTGAAAAAAACAAAAATACATACTTTATAATAAAGTTGTTTATAGGTAACAACCAACTAAATGTGTACACCACAGTGTGTACACTAGAGTGTGTACACTGCCACACAACGCACCTAACGTCGTACTCGACCATGTACACAAACAAGAGTGCCGCCATCTTGCCATGGCCAACCATCGCTAGTCCGCCTGTAGGCACAACCCAACCATCGCTAGTCACCCATGTAGAAAAAATCAATTCAACCAGCGCGTATCAAATCAACCACTCAAGGGATACAACTCCCATCGGTATACAGAGTTGCCATCTTGCCATCGAGCTGTACGCGTAACGGCTGTTTGCGCGTGTAGGAGTGAGGACACGAATCTAGGTCACGTCTGCTGGATTTCAATATTTCGATCAATCATAAGCGGATGGTGGCAATATCGAATTATTAGATGTGTTAATCCTAGCCTCGGCGTGTTTGGATGTGTAGTAAATAAACGCTATTTATAGCATTTACTCTGACGTCATTATCCTTGAAGTGTTTTATGACGTATTTGACACGTCACAGCTCCGACACGTTAGAGGGTGCGTGTCTTTAATAAAGCAACCGGTGAATTCTTCTTGTAGAAACGACAAACTTTAAAACGACACACAGCACCAGAAGAAACGAGTATAAAACCGTTGCCTAAAACAGTAAACAATGAAAGACAACAATTAGCAATCAATGTTGTCCGGGTTGTCACAAACACATAGCCGCGGCAGGCCCTAGCGCGCACATAATCAATGTCTACACAAAAGCTTCTCGGCTCGTAAATAAATAATTCAACGTTTAGCGCTGCGGCAACAGCAAGGGGAGATCAATAAGGATGGAATTAAAGGGACGTTACTACAGCTTTGTAAACAAAACATTGCGTAAAAAAGATTTGGATGCACATATTTTATCGACATATTGTGAAATATCAGATACATACAAGTTTTAAAGATTATTTTATGTATGAATATTCATTTTTATAGCGACGAGCATTATTGCAAGGAAAATTTCGTTTCATTAACGTTAGATTTTTTATAACTGACGATCAAATGCCCACATGAGAAAATACTCTGACAGTTTTATTCAGTCGAATGTTGGTGGTCATTGAACGGATGAGAGAGAAGACCACTACAACAAATATTGTCTTGTTCATGTGAATGGGAGTCTAGGTGGTTAGACAAGAAGTGGTCTGTGGGTTGGTGTGGTCAGTTGTAGGGGTTGGTGTGGTGAGCTCTGGGGGTTGGTGTATTATGTCTGGGTAGTTAGGTGAGGTCAGTTCTGTGTAATTAAGTGTGGTCAGTTTAGTGTGGGTTGGTGTAGTCACTATAGTGTAGGTTGGTGTATTCTGTCCTGGGACATTTGGTGTGGTCAGTTCTGGGTAGGTTGGTGTGGTCAGTTCTGGGTAGGTTGGTGTGGTCAGTTCTGGGTAGGTTGGTGTGGTCAGTTTTGGGTAGGTTGGTGTGGTCAGTTTTGGGTAGGTTGGTGTGGTCAGTTGTGGGTAGGTTGGTGTGGTCAGTTCTGGGTAGGTTGGTGTGGTCAGTTTTGGGTAGGTTGGTGTGGTCAGGTAATGCATGAATCGTTAACGCTGGTCAAAGTTTGTGTATATATCGCGACACAACCTCCGGTTAGCTGGACGTTGACGTGACCACAGGAGCTGATTAAAACAGACGGACTCTACTACAACTGCCCAGAAACAGTCGGGTCTGAAAATAAACTGTTGGAAAAGTATTTTATTCCGTCGTGGCTGACATTTGCAATGATGCGCCCCAATCGATCACGTGACAATTGCCAGACCCACGAACCCACTCAGCCGTGACGCCATTGTCCGAGCCGATCACTCACCCGTGACGTGCAAGATGTCGCCGACGTCGTGCTAAATATTCCAGCACGAGGGTGAGTCACGGCCCTCGCTATACAGCTCACTCGGTGGGGGTGGGGGGGGGGGGTCGAGCAGGTTGGTACAGTCAGTTGGGGGGGGGGAGCAGGTTGGTACACTCGGTGGGGGGTTGGGGTGGGGGTCGAGCAGGTAGGTACAGTCAGTTGAGGTACATTATGATGGGGTAGGTCATGGGGTACACCAGGATGGTGATACAACTATCACGTGATCAGTGTTTAGCCATTAGTTATGCAGATGTCAGTTGGCCACCAAACGTACAGCCCAAACCAGAAAGTCCCCGGATGTTGGTTGTGTTTTTAGTTCAAACTTCTTCAATAACAGTCTCCAACTTTTCTTGATGTGTCTTAATGTTGATGCACATGTCAAAATGGCATTAGAAACAGGTGTAATGATTGCCCTAAAACAGGTGTAATGATGGTTCTAAAACAGGTGTAATGATGGCCCTAAAACAGATGTAATGATGGCCCTAAAACAGGTGTAATGATGGTTCTAAAACAGGTGTAATGATGGTTCTAAAACAGATGTAATGATGGCCTAAAACGGATGTCCTGATGGCCCTGGAGCCACCTGTTACCAAGTGGGCCATTGAAGCGTAAGATCTAGAGAACTGAATCGTACGTGGGGGAGCTAATATCAAATATTGTATTACAATGTGGGGGAGCTAATATCAAATATTGTATTACAATGTGGGGGAGCTAGTGTCGAATATTGTATTACAATGTGGGGGAGCTAGTGTCGAATATTGTATTACAACCAAGGACAGCCATCTGTATGTAGTAAAATGTTTTGTTAACATTTTGTTAGTATTATAAAACATTGTTATAACACTGACAAAAACATCATCGTTGTTATGCTAGTTAACTCTAATCAACACATTGACAGCACGTCCAACTAAGTTCTGGTAAAACTTTAAAAAATTCAACTCCGTTCAAACCGCTAATTTAATACGCTATTTGTCAAACAAATTATTAGTTACTCTGAGTAGAGACCGAGACACTGTCTCGACATGTCAAGTAATATATCCATCTGTCTTAAATCAAGTCTGATTACGTGATACCAAATAAATAGTTACATATAACAAGCAAGTAAAGATAGATGTCTTCTGACAAGGTTCTAGTGGCCTACACAATGTGAATCTCGTGGACCTGACGATTCATTTGAGACCAACTCACTGGGGTATTTCGTCAGGGTAGTTTTCTCATCTAGATCTATGTTGGGCAGTCAACTAATTAGTGCTACATCCTTCCGGTTTAAAACAATTAGCACAGTTCATTAAGACCAGGAGGTCTGGGAAAAGTAATGTTTCTTGAAGAATATCTCAGTTCTAATGTGTGACATTCTAGAAACTACCTAAAACTAAATATTATTAGTGAACTTCACAAAGCAACAAATTCTTAAACAAACAAAAATACGTATTTTTTAGAGCCAAGTACGGTTCCGAAGGCGTACGGCTCCGACCGATGTTTTACAAAGATGACAAGTATCGCGCCGCGTATGTTTTGAACGGTTGAGTGATTCATATCAACCTGTAAGACCTGGGTTCGAATCCCACCAACGCCTACATGTGTCAGCCTATTGGGAAGGACCAAACAATTTTTAAGACGTCCTGAGTTTTACTCACCTAGGATAATAGCTTGCACACGACCCATGGGCGTCATCACGGAGAGGAAAATAACATAACGTTTCACTTCCACAAATATAACATTTCTGGCCCAGATATATAATACAATGACACGTCAAGGATTATAACACAACAGTTCACTTCCACAAAAGTAGCATTTCAGGTCGATAAATAAAAGATAATGCTCCAAGTCCAGAAATATAACGTAACGCTTGACGTCCAGTATTAAACTGACGATCTATCGAGGTAATTTATCTGTCCATATCGTTTGTAATCCATTACTAGGGGGTGTGTTCGTGTAACATATCCATCATGGCGCACACTAGGTCAAGGATATTTACTGTATAACAGTAGTCGCACGTGCGACCCTCGAACAGAACACACACAGTTGGTGAGTGCACCTGTTGCTGCTGTCTTCATAACACGTCAACAGGCTGGTGCTATCCTGAGTCATGGATGACTGGATCAGATGGATGACTGGACTAGATGGGTGACTGGGTGACTGGACTAGATGGGTGATGACGTCACTTGGGTCAGATGACCTCAGTGGTGAGATAACGCTAGTGCTGAGCTTAACTCGGGGGTGAGCTACCCTCAGTATTAAGCTCGGTGGTGAGCTACCCTCAGTATTAAGCTCGGCGGTGAGCTACCCTCAGCATTAAGCTCGGTGGTGATCTAACCACACAAGTGCTCGTGAAACCACAAGCCCGCAGTAAATGCCAGTCGTCCCAGGGCTGTATGTTGGGTAGTGCATGGGTCAGGACAATTTAGCCTCCCTGCTCATTATGGTGGATCATTAGCGAGACAGTCATTAGCCAATATTATGTGTGGGTATGTTTAAATCTGCACTCGGCGATATTTCCACTCGCACCAAACCACCACACAGAAAACCACAGCAGCTTGTGGGGAAAATTACCGACCGCAAAAATTCAGCCGGTGTCCTTGAACTTTGTGGAATAAAGTAAAATGTACTACCTTGTAAATAACAAAAGGAAACGAAACAAAGCCTAAGACAAGAGCCGGAAATTGACTTTTGGAGCGTCTTGAACTTCCGGTGAAAGTATGCTACAGGAAGTGACGTCAGAGAGTAGGGTAAGTACAAATGTTTTGATTCGTACCGGCAATACGGTTGGTGTTTTGGTGTCCTAATAAAAGCTGAGGTATGCAGACAAGCAAATACACACAGCAGACAAAGTAGAAAGAGACAGCAGACAAAGTAGAAAGAGACAGCAGACAAAGTAGTAAGAGACAGCAAACAAACGTAGAGATACGCTAACGTAAAAGATGGTTAAGAAAATCTTAAAGTACATCCTAGCATGGACCCAAAAATGACTTTAAAAATTGAGATCTAGATTTAGGGTTTAGCGTTTGTGTGTGTGGGTGCGTGAGTGTGGGATGAGGGTGGGGTTAACCCTCAACCACCGCCAACAAACGTGCCCCCCCCCCCCCCCATCTACGGTCCAATAAACAC